GTCATTCATAGTGATGCTGCTCATAAAGATGCCGAGACAGACAATTCAGAATCACGCCAAAACTGCCCTTTTCAGGGCCACCCATGCACATCATCCAAAAAAAGATATACCATGTTGAACCGATCAAAATGTATTCTATTAATTTGGTCACCTGCAAAAAATAACTTTTTACTACCACGAATTAATAGTTTTTCCAATAACTGAAGGTTTAAACAGGTTAACATTTTACTGGTAAACCAGAGAATCAATGCATAAATTTACTTGTCAGAAGTGTGAATGACTTCCTGTCAGCACAGTAATGGCCTTGCTGGTACAGTAAAGAACTGGTCGGTACATAAAGCAGCGGCTGGTACGGTAAAGCGAGCAGCGTACACCGTGGGAGGCTCACAGGAATCCAGCTTGGTTGTAATGATCAATTCCCAGGAAATTTGAATTCCACATAAAAGCACGATTATGTACATTTCCAAGCAAGCAGATTAAAGTTTAGATTAAAGTTCAAGATAGTTTTATTCAAAACAAGCCATGCATGGCACAGTCCCAGTTAGTTATCAAATTTAAGATGTATAGTTTTGTTTATAGAAATAGAGCTGGAATATAACCATGTCAGGAATATGATTTTTTTAACATTAAAATGATTGACATTTGTATCTGATCGTCAAACAAGTACTTGTCCATATTGAGATATATTGCTCTGGAACAGCATTCAAAATCAGCCATTTTGAATACATGTATATATATATATATATATAACATGTTGTATAACGAATATATAAAATTTAAATATAATAAGTCAAAGCATTTAAGAGATATGGCTCTAGAACCCCAATCATTAAAGCAAAATGGCCATCAGTCAGCTATTTTGAATTTAATCTGAAAAATAAAATGATGTGCATCAATCAGCAACACGTCTAATGTATGTACCAAGTTTGAACGAAATCCATCCATAAATGCCAGAAATGCTTGATATATGATGATTTTTTAGCACAAAAATGACCACCATTTGGCCATTTTGAATAGGATCGTCAAACCAATATATCTGTTTATCTATGACATGATGTATAATGAATATTTAAAATTTGAATATAATCAGTCAAAACAAGTCGGAGATGTGGGTCTAGAAGCCCATTCATTAAAACAAAATGGCCACCAGACAGCAATTTTGAATGTGATCTGAAAAATAAATGATGTGCATCAGGAACCTGTAATGTCTAATATATGTACCAAGTTTAAACGAAATCCATCCATAAATGCCAGAAATGCTTGATATTTGATGATTTTTTAGCACAATTTTGAATAGGATCGTCAAACCAATATATCTGTCTATCTATGACATCATGTATAATGAATATTTAAAATTTGAATATAATCAGTGAAAGCAAGTCAGATATGGCACGAGAGCCACATTCATTAAAACAAAATGCCGCCAGTCGGCCATTTTGAATCTTATCTGAAAAACAAAATTATTTGCATCAAGGTCCCATAACGTCAAATGAATATACCAAGTTTGAACAAAACCCATCTGTAAACAGCCGAGAAATGCTTGATTTTTAGGATGTTTTAGCACAAAAATGGCCACCATTTGGCCATCTTGAATCAGATCGTGAAACAAATTGATGTGCATATGTATAATATCATGTATGATGTATGTGTGAAGTTTGATTGTGATTGGTCCAGGCATTTCTAAGATACAGGTCCGGACGCACGCACGCATGCACGGAGGTCAAAACATAAGTCTGTTTTCGGACTGCGTCCGAACGGGACTAATAAAGTTCATGGAACGAAACTCACACTTTGACTATGATCTTGCCAAGTCATTGCAAACATATTGCAAATTACATGGTCATATTGACAGTGTTCGAAATTAACTGAAAATCATAACAGGCCCGAAGGACCTATGTCAAATTAAAACTGTAGGTCCTTCTAGCTAACTGTAGGCCCTGATATTTAACAAACAAAGACTAAACGGATAATACAAGCTTGCAATTGCAAAACCTTTATTTACTAATTAATCAGATATATTATCTGCAGCCTCAAAGAGGTCATCATCATTTCTTTCATCGTCACTAAACTCATCAAAATCTTCGGAAAAAACACTGTCATGATCATTGGCCGACTCTGAATCTGACATGCATTTTGCATCGTGTTCACAATCATTGGCATCAGCTTCAGCTTCTACAAGGATCAATTCTGCTGCACGACAGCTGACCGTAGGATCCTCGACAAGGCCGGCAATACATCACCTTGTTGTTGTTATCAAAAAGTAACCAGTCTTTGAACTCCGCCTGCCAGCTAACTTGGAATGTGCGTGGTTTACGCCAAGCCCATTCGTATTCTAGCTGTTTGTCACGCCTTTCTTGTGTAGTTTTCACACGTTTAGCAGCAGGCTCCTGGCAGTTACAATATCGCCACATACTTCGATGTAGACGTAACTCTGCAACTATTGATACCAGCGTGTTCAATGCAAATCAAAGATGGCGGAACATAAAATGTAAGCGCGAATTCTATTGGTTTGAATCGGAGGCTTGATCGGCCTACAACCAATCAGATCGTTTGTTACTGTTCCCACGTTCGGCGCATTTTTGCAATCATTTGGCGAGCTTGAATTATGACTCGTATGCCCAGGTCGATGAGTGATGCCATTTGTTGATCAAACGTGCAAGAAAACGCAATTTTGAAACAATTCTGGAGTCACTATCGATATTTATTATATATTTGGTCTTACAATCATACTAAATAATGGAACGTTTTTTTTTAAATATAAATTTATGGTCAGTCACAAGGACTGATTGGTTTTTCACAGCTCTAGGCCCTTTTCACCCACTGAGGCTGACGGACCGACGTTAATTTCGAACACTGCATATTGACCTCCCCTATTTTAAGGAACTATTTACAATACAGTAACATGGTATTATTCCAAAATGCTCAAGCAAAGAAGTTGAAAATCAGCAAAATAATTCCATTACCTCTACCACTATGAGACTCACCTGGTCTGTAGGTACAATATCTACTAGGGAACAGCGCACAGCCAATTCTGGAACCAACATGAACTTGCTTTTAAGTTTTTTCAGCCTATGAATATATCATAAAGACATCTGATGATATGCATGATGTACTAGATGATTAATTTAGCACAACAGCAGGCAGTGACACTATCCAAATCACTGATTTTCAATTTCTATTCTTTCGATTTTCCAATAATTCAAATACCAGTATATAATACCCAAGTGTTGAAGTTCTTCAGTGCCATAGATGAAATATATCATATCATTCACACAACAACTGCGTTTATTTGTTCATTTACTTACAATACAACAAATCTCTAAACTTGTGGGTACCCAAACTTGTTTCCATATAAACAATGACTGAGTTTATTGTAGCATTTAAACCCCACTTTGGCCATTCACTTTATATGCACAAACAAATGAATTTAGTTGTAAAGAGCGAACAAATTGCTGACAGAATATTCAAACAGATTATATACTAAAGGAATTAAGTTTTTTATCCTATATTGAACTTTTGATGTTGTCCCTTACGTGGTAGGTATGCTTGTATAAGGGACGCGGCCCTCCAGCACACTCAAAGTGAAATGAGTTCAGGATATCTATCTTTTAATATATAACTTTTTTTTTAAAGCTAAAATGGCATCATTTGAACATAAATTACATTTTCAGCTTGTTTGACATATTTGCAAAGTAAGAATTCCACTTCAAAGAATAAATTAATGCAATTTACCTGGATATTGGAACAATTTCTGTGTTACCATAATCTATATATATAATTTCAGCTTGTTCGTATTCAATAATGTCATCGTCGTCATCATCATCACTATCAATTGTTATCAATGACTTAATTCTACATCGATACCACACTTTATCAAATGCATACTTACAACAATATATGTCTCCTGTCAATTAGAAATGGACATCATTATTATCGTTATTAATTTTTGTGATATTTAGGTTTATCAAAGCAATTAAAAGGGAAGTTGTCAACCACTCAATCTTTGGTGTAAGGTTACTCTGAGAAATATCAATAGACAGACAAAAGCCACGATTAACAACCATAATGGCTGCCAGTCGGCCATATTTATCATTTCAAAAAAATAAACCAACGTGCATCTGTATGGGTGGTCCCTTTATCTTTGTAACAAGTCTCAACAAAATCGGTCAAGCCATCTCCGAGAAATGACGATGGACACACAAGGACCAAATTTTTCTGGACTTTGTCTGGGTGTGTCCTAATAATACTAGCCATGTTAGTTGTATCAAACATGCTCTACTAACAAGCGATATCAGGTGAGGATTACAATATGAAACAGAAAAACACCACATACCTACTTCCACGTCATCCACCGCTTCACATCTTGATTCATTACAGTACTTGTTAATGACTCGTCTAATATTTTCGTATCTGTCAGCGTCTGAGCATCGTTGTATCATGAAATGGCATGGTGTTTTGATATGAGTTACTTTAACCAACTCACAGCGAGCTGAAATAAGTAAAACAAGACATGATATGTCATGTCATGTCATGTCATAGCCCCCGCTCAGAAAAAAATTGAAAAACTTATAATGAACTGGGTTTGTGTCAGAGTGAATTAATTCATTATGAGCTGTATTAAAATTCCGTTATTAATTGTTCAGAATTGATGTGTTACAATTTTAGGGGGGTGGGGTAAAAATTTATTCATTTGGCTTTTCTGAGACAATTTATAACTTGTTAAACATATAATGCGATGTGCACAATTATTACCTGTCCCTGTACTAACTTTGACCAAAACTGGATGACACATATCTGAGAAAAAGCTGGTAACAGCTAGAAAAAGCTTGTTTTTTTAGATTTTTGAGGGGGAAAATGGCCTCCAAGTCGTAAAAATTTATCCAATCAAACAGGTCATGAATGACACTGCCTTCACTTGTTGTCATTTGAAAGTTGCAACATATAA